CTTGGTAGGTTTGCGGTTGTGCCATACACTTTCCATTTTTGGATGATGGATTGAACAGTGCTCCGTGAGATGTACAAAGCTTGGGCTATTTTTTTTCTATGACCTAACCCTGCTTTAAATTTCTCCACAACTTTATCCCTGACCTGTCTGGTGTGCGCCTTGACCTTCATGATGCTGTTTGTTCACTAATGTTCCCTAACAAACCTCTGAGGGCTTCACAGAACAGCTGTATTTATGCTGAGATTACATTACACACAGGTGGACTCTATGAATTAGGTGACTTCTGAAGGCAATCGGTTCCACTAGATTTTAGTTAGGGGTATTAGAGTAAAGGGGGCTGAATACAAATGCACACCACACTTTTCAGATATCTGGTTGAAAACCAATTATTTTCCTTCCACTTCTGTGCCACTTTTTGTTGGTCTATCACATAAAATACATGTTTTTGGTTGTAACATGACAAAATGTGGAAAATTTCAAGGGATATGAATACTTTTTCGACGCACTATAGGTTACAATGCAGCCATTCCATCAGTCTCTGTTCACAAAAGTCTGTAGCAGATGAGTACCAACAGAAAGCTACTTAAAACCTTCCATACAGGTTACTCTTCCCACTAATGATTGCAAGCTGCAGTCTGTGAACAAGCTCTTAGACAAGACAGCTTACATACTGTACTTTGATGAAGAACTCTGCTAGACAATGATACTTGGAATTGAATGTAGATGAGGGGGTTCTCTGATCCAAGATTAAACACCATTGGGAAAAGAGATTTTACTGTCTACCCAGTGAAAGTAATGGGCTTTAAATTCAGAAGATGGGATTTTGCAAAGGGTTTCGTTCTTGACCAGGAACATAAAAGTAAAAACATTGATCTTCTCCAGAAGAACCCACAGGAGCACATTCTGAATCTTAGCGTGCAGCCTTCTGCTTGTAAAGTGAATGGACTTAGTTCAAAGCTCCTGACAATGCTGATGAAAAACATCTTCAGCCCCTTGGCCTTCTCATTGTCGCCTGAAGAAGTGTTCCAGAAATTTAAAAGAAATCCTCCATTTTGCTTGATATTAGAACAGCCTTTTTTTTTTTTTTAAATTGCAATATTTTATTTCATTTTCACAATGCTTGCTGAAGGAACAAAATATCTAAAATAGATTTTTCACTAGAAAACGTTTCATCATTCAAAGCTCTTTCACAGATCTAAGGTGAGTTTTCCCCTTACAGTAAATCACAATCTGATGTAGAGGAATCAAATCTTCCTCAAGTCTTTAGTACATGTTGAGTGTGTGTTCCTGCAGAGCAATCAGGCAGGTTGTTTAAGAGAAATGGAAACCAATTCTAAAATTTGTTTGGAGCAGTTTTGAAAATGTAACTCCACTTTTCAAAGAAAAGGACCCCCCCCAAAAAAACAAAAAAAAAAAAACAGGCTGAATTCTGAATGGGGGGGGGGGGGGGGGGTCAGCAGCATTTATTTCCACTTTGTGCTTATAAGAAAAGCTGCAATGTCTGCATCTCTGTAGGTGAAGAAAAAGGGAGGTGAGTAATCACTGTAACCGCTAATGTAAACTTGGAGTGCATCACAACACACAGAGAATGTAATATTTATGCCTTTTTGGGTTATGCTGCCACCTTCAGATAAATGGACACGGTCCAAAAAAGGAAGGAATCCCCGCCCAGGCAAAGCCCCTCCCAGCTCTACAAAGCTTCAGTTTTGTAGCTAGCAATGAGGAACAGACAGGAGGGGAGGGATCTCTATACCCTGTAATGTACTCCAAAAAATATTTCTCAGGTAAACCAGTTATAAAATCCTAAATTGTGCTTCACGGGACACAGGCATTCATAAAATGGGGGGGGGGGGGGAACCACACTACAAGTCTGCCTGCAAGACTTTTCAACCAAAACTTATGAAACTTAACTTGAGGAGAGGACCAGGTGGCAGTATCTTGATGCTGAATCACCCAGGAAGCACTGGCACTCCGGATAAATTGGACATTGAGGTGGAAAGGAGGAGCCTTGCCCTTGATACTACAGACTTTAGAAATGAGCTGATGATCCACCTAGGAGTAGTGGATCAGGAAGCTGTCTGACCCATTTAAGTACCCACAGGTAAAATAAACAGAGCATCTGTTGGAATGAAGCAGTAGCCTCCAGATAAACTCGAACAGCTCGACCAACATCCCAAAAAGCGAAGCATCTTCTATTTAGGTTTAAGACAAAATGATGGCTCAATGACTCAAATGTCCAGATTTAGGTGTAATGAAGAAAACCACCTCAGATAAGAAAGAGGAGCAAGGCCTCAACACCACCTTATCATGGTGAAGAACTCTAGTCAGCATACCACATCAGCCAAGAAACCCAATATGATCTTTTGTAATTGAGGCAGCCTTAGACCCTGAGAGGAATCATTCAAAGAGGATTCTGAATCTTCATCAGCCTCCACCTCTTTTACGTCCCTGGGGTCCCAGGCATAGATAGATACAAAAGGCATTGAAGGAATGTGCCCCCAAAACAGCAGAAATACCAGATAAAGGCAAGGATTCAGAACTAAGGTGACCCTTAGAGAAGCCATTGCAGAGTGAACTAAGGAAGTGGTCCTCCCTACCTGATAAAAGGATGTGGGAGCCTATCCCATCATCCCCCACCTCTCTGCCTGTGCAATTCTCTGGTGTGCTAAGGGTAATAGACCTGTAAACCCCAATATGGGAGTGGCTACCCAGCTGAGAGGAGTGTCTGATAAGAACCAAGACACCTGATGGTAAGAAAGAGCTCTGAAGCAGTTGCTTCAGTAGTAATTATGTAATCTCTTGCCTGTCTCTGCCTGTGTCCTGGATTGCTGCAATGCCACAGCAGATGAGGCTGCTGCAAGATATGCTTGATACATGCATGCCGCAGGTGGCAGGACTCAAAATGGTGCTTGTACATGCACAGCCTGATGACATAAAGAGCCAGGCATGTGGGGTGCAGTTCTGCCCTTCCAATTAGCACAGCCCCCAATAAACAGTACATCAAACACCGGATAGAACAATATGGACACAAGGGGAATTGTGACAGTTTCACCACTGTAGTTCACTCATCACAGGGGCATGGACCTTCAGGGTCACGGCTCCACTACAAAGAGATCACCGATCTGGACCTGTACAGCTCCTTGCTAGAGAGGTCTCCAGATCCAAGGTACCTCAGTGATTGCTGCTCAAGGTGTTCAATGCTCAACGAAAACCTTACAGGCCATTTATGATCTTTCATAGCGTTGTCTGGGTACCATCTCTCTAGACAGCAGGGCTGTTGACCACTGATCCATACAGAACAGGCAATAAAAAAAACCCTGGAGAGTGCTGAACCTGTAAATTAAACACAGGTCCAGCACTTCTAAAGTTATTATTTTAATTAAAAAAGCATTCCCTCCCAGAATTAACCAGCATGGACTGGTATGCCCATAGCAAGAAGATGGCACATCATCAGGCGATAGGTCACTTTTCAAAAAGGACCAATGTGGACCCTGACTGTCACTGGGCTTTTCAGTACATTCAGCACTCAGGAGAGGGGGTGCTTATTTGCTACCTATCTAACCACAAAGTGGGCACGTGGGTGGTCACCCCCTCTCTAGTAAACTGGTTTTAGGGGTCCAATTTGCTACCTCAAACTTCCTCTCTGTGACTGCTTCTCTATCCCATGGCTGCCCCAAATTAAAAAAAAAAAAAAAAATAGAACTTTCTCCCTGCTTTACAGAGATTGGATCCAGAAATAAGTCATATCTAGCAAAACACTTCTTAACTCAACAAGGAACTAATCTGAAACTCGGTACGTTGACACTGACATAATGATGCACTCAAAGCAAAGTATCTATGTCCTGCACAAACCAGCCTAATAGGTGTCTTCCATGCTAGGAAGCATACTTTAAAAACACCCATCAAAAGAAAAAACCTGATCTCCGGCGTTTGGTGGAGGAGTGTCTCATCCACTGGAACCAGCCTAAAAAGTAAGTAGTAGATAGGGCCTTATAAGAATTTGTCCAGAGGCCCTGCCTTCATTTCTGTCTTTCTGGTCACAAAAAGCCAGCTAGAGAGAGAATGTAAATGTAAGTCCTGATCGTGCGTTCTGTACAAATGACAGGAGGCACAATTCTCACGTGAAAAGGCTAAAATGTGACTAAGCCCTTTCGCTGCCACAGCCGTTTTTGTATTTTTTGCAAACGTTTAAAAAATAATTTTAGGCCTAAAGACTGCACAAAACCTTCAAACCATTACATATTTTCTGAAAGCAGACACCCTAGAGAATAAAATAGTGGTTGTTCCAATTTTTTGTGTCACAAGATATTACCACAAAAGTCTAGGAAATGCAAAATTTCAGTAAAAACCATACTAAAAGTGAATTTAGGGAAACAAATGCAATCAATTATCCAAATTTTTGGTAAAATATAAAAGATGAGGTTGCGCCGAGTAAATAGATACCCAACATGCCAAACCTTAAAATTTGTGTGCGCCTATGAAATGGCGGCTAACTTCAGTACCCTATGTTTTCTATAGGTGACACTTCAAAAGCATCCTATAGATCATCAGTTTTGCATTACGGAGGAGGTCTTGTGCTAGAATTATTGCTCTCACTTCGCAGTGGAGTACTTCGTACAGGAAGAATGCTACATAATAAAAAAAATGCTGTTTTAAAGAATAAAATGTATTTTAATTTAATAACTCTTTAGTCATACAGATTGAAAGCTGCTTTAACTTTTTTTTTTTTTACTGAATTTGTCAGTAAACATAATACAATAAATACATGTAGACATTTACAATATTCCGAAAAACTATACAAATGTGTCTAAATCAAATGTTTTATATAAAAAAAAGTTTCAATGCAGCAACTCTCCATCCAAGAACATCTCATAGGTTGCTTGTTGACATTTTAAATACAGTCCAGTTATTTACAGGATGTGTCCCCGACTGTCCAACACAGTCCTTGGATATAAAATTTCTTTGTTTATATTATGTAGGTACAGATTTCCACCAATTATTTACGAGAAGTGGATTCCTTCTGCATTAAATCCGTGTAGTAGCCTAAAAGGTTGAAAAAAAAAAAACAAAACCAAAAAAACAAACAAAATGAAAAAAGGGAATTTGCTTTGTTTAGTAATCCAATTTTACAACCAACAATTATGATAAGCACACTCTGATAAACCTTATAGGAATGCAATACAAATACCTGATGAAGTCATCTATGTCCATGGAGCGGGCACGCTTCTCATTAAATCCATTGTCTGCAAGTATCTTGTCAATTTTATCAGAAATGCTGAAGTCTTCTGGAATTACCTGTTTGCAAAACAGAACTTTTATAAAACTTTTATAATATTCTTATCTTTTTTGTATTATTCAGAAAATTCAAAAAAGCATAACGAGGTATTAAACCAAAAATGTATTATATTGCAAGCTTCCCAATCATTACATAACTTTTTTAGGCTTTTCCCCCCCTGTATTATGTAGGGTACCTACACTCTGGATGAAGGACTACACTGACAGCATTGTCAGTATATTTAAAAAATGATAACTGCATCGAACACTAACCCCCCCAGGCTAACAAATTGAAGCCAGACTCCAGCCATCACGTTATAAGCAGTTACAGCAACATTTTTTTTCCCTTTTGGGAGAAAGGTTTTATAATACATATAAAAGCTGATCACTGCAAGCACCCCTCTCAGTGGTAAATGGTTTGACTCAACCCTATAACTGCAACATCTGCAGGATAGTTTGTTTTCTTGAAAAACAACAGACTTACTGGCTGGATCACCTGGGGAAAATAAAGGAAAGAAAGTCTAAAAAATAAACCTAGTGCAGCCATCACATCTAAGAACTGGTAAGCTGCAATGGCTAGACAATAGCACCCTGTCTGCCATTAGGTATTGGGATGAAATCCTTGGACCCATTGTCAGACCATACACTGGTGCAGTGGGTCCTGGGTTCCTCCTAGTGCATGACAATGCCCGGCCTTATGTGGCGAGAGTATACAGGCAGTTCCTGGAGAATGAAGGAATTGATACCATTGAATGGCCCCCACGCTTGCCTGACCTAAATCCAAGAGAACACCTCTGGGATATCATGTTGCGGTTCATCCGACGACGACGCCAGGCTGCACCTCAGACTGTCCAGGATCTCAGTGATGCCCTGATCCAGATATGGAAGGAAATACCCCAGGATACCATCCATCGTCTCCTTAGGAGCATGTCCTGATGTTGTCAGGCATGCATACAAGCACGTGGGAGACATACAAAGTACTGAATACCATTTTGAGTTGCTGCAAGGAAATTTCAGCAAAATGGACTAGCTTGTTGCATCATTTTTTTACTTTGATTTTCTGGGTGTCTTTGAATTCAGTCCTCTGTAGGTTGATAATTTTCATTTCCATCAAACGATGGGGCATTCTTACATTCCTAACAAATTACCCAGTCCATATCAGTATAGATATCCAGCATATTTTTCCCCATTTGATGTGTTTTCAAAGTGTTCCTTTAATTTTTTTGAGCTGGATATAACCAAAACTTTTTTTTTTCTTTATAGCATTCCATAGGTAAGGGTATAAACCTCTGAAAAGTTATTTTTTCTGCTGTTTACCATTGGGAAATCATGCTGATTTTCCTGCCACAGGTGTCCCTATTAGAACACTTCTCACCTTTTGATCTGGGGACAATTCTCATATTGGAATAGCGTTTTTTCACAAAGTCTTAAAGAACAGCTATGATTTCACATACTGTAAGTAACAAACTATACTTACAACATTGTGAAGAGAACAATGTATTCTGTAATTCTTCTCTAACAGTTCCTGGACTGCACTGGATCTGCAAATAAAATAATAGATAAATAACATGCAAGATCTGTTTACACAGAGGCTTAAAGTGTTTGTAAACCCTAAAAAAAAAAAAATTCTGCTACTGTAGATTTAAAACAGCATCATTAGCACTGTAAGGCTGTAATGTTATTTAACACTTTCCATTGCACAGAGCAGGTACAGTGGATATAAAAAGTCTGCACACCCCTGTTAAAATGTCAGGTTTCTGTGATGTAATAAAATGACACAAAGATAAATCATTTCAGAACTTTTTCCATCTTTAATGTGACCTATAAATTCAATTGAAAAACAAACTGCAATCTTTTAGGGGGAGGGGGAGTAAACATAAAAAAATAAAATAATGTGCTTGCATAAGTGTGCACACCCTCTGGGGATAACTGGGGATGTAGTTGTGTTCAGAAGTAAGCAATCATACTTAAAATTATGTTAAATAAGATTCAGTACACATCTGCCATCATTTAAAGTGCCTCTGATTAACCCCAAATAAACTCCAGCTGTTCTAGTAGGTCTTTCCTGACACTTTCTTAGTCGCATCCTACAGCAAAACCCATGGTCCGCAGACAGCTTCCAAACCATCGGAGGGATCTCATTGTTAAAAGATATCAGTCAGGAGAAGGGTGCAAAAGAATTTCCAAGGCATTAGATATACCATGGAACACAGTGAAGAGAGTCATCAAGTGGAGAAAATATGGCACAACAGTGACATTACCAAGAACTGAATGTCCCTCTAAAATTGATGAAAAGACAAGAAAAAAAAAAAAAAACTGGTCTTGGAGGCTGCCAAGAGGCCTACAGCAACATTAAAGGAGCTGCAGGAATATCTGGCAAGTACTGGCTGTGTGGTACATGTGACAACAATCTCCCGTATTCTTCATATGTCTGGGATATGGGGTAGAGTGGCAAGACGGAAGCCTTTTCTTACAAAGAAAAACATCCAAGCCCGGCTAAATTTTACAAAACCACATCTGAAGTCTCCAAAGCATGTGGGAAAATGTGTTATGGTCAGATGAAACCAAGGTTGAACTTTTTGACCATAATTCCAAAAGATATGTTTGGCGCAAAAACAACACCGCACAACACCAAAAGAACACCATACCCATAGTGAAGCATGGTGGTGGCAGCATCATGCTTTGGAGCAGTTTTTATTCAGCTGGAACTGGGGCCTTTGTCAAGGGTGAGGGAATTATGAACAGTTCCAAATACCAGTCAATATTGGCACAAAACCTTCAGGCTTCTGCTAGAAAGCTGAACACGAAGAGGAACTTTAGCTTTCAGCATGACAATGACCCAAAGCATACATTCAAATCAACAAAGGAATGGCCTCACTAGAAGAAGATTCAAGTTTTGGAATGAGAGCCCAGACCAGTAGTTTAAGGGTGTGCACACTTATGCAACCATATTTTGTTTTTTATTTTTACTTCCCTCCAGCTAAAAGATTTCAGTTTGTTTTTTCAGATGAGTTGTACAGTTTATAGGTTACATTAAAAGGTGGAAAAAGTTCTAAAATGTTTTATCTTTGTCTCATTTTTTTTTACATCACAGAAACCTGACATTTTAATAGGGGTGTGTAGACTTTTTATATCCACTGTAGGTATAACATTTTTTTTTTTTTTTTTAATTAAAATGATAAAAGGTTTACAATCACTTTGAAACACCTCTTCACCCCGCCCACCACCCTGCTTTGAGCACACCTACACCCTTCATTTAAAAAAAAAAAAAAATCTCAATACATATCTTTTTAAGGGGTCTTTGGTCTGAATGCATACCATCTTTCTTCTCTTCTGTCCCCAGCTGATGGGCCCTAAATGCTGTAGAAAGCTCTGACATGGTGCTGCTCTCTGCAGAACTCTCCTGTGAGCCCAGAGTGGTAGGATGACGAAGGCAGCAGGTCCATGGGCTCTCAGGAAGTGAGCTGAATGACCTAGGAGGACATTTAACCCAACAAATTGTCATCATCTAGTGGTGGAGAGGCCTTACTGCAGGTGACCACCAGAGTTAGAGCTGCTCACACACGTGCGGTGCGGATTGAAGCTCAAGCTTCACAGCTAATTGATACAGTAGCTGTTCACAGGTTCACGTCAGGATTAGCTCTGGATCTTATCCTGTTCACACATATGCGGTTTAGGAACGGTTCCCATAGAAGTCAACAGACCTGTAATCCGCACCTGAACCGGACTTCACTGCTCAGAAATCAACATGACTCTTTTTAAAACCGCACTGAATCCGCACCGGCTATATGTGAACAGGCACCATAGGAAGCATAGCTAATTCACATGTCATGCAGATTGGATGAGGTTCAAACCACATCTAATCCGCATATATGTGAACTGGGACTTAAAGTGAGTATTGCAGGCAGGATTGCTTTTTTCTTTTTTTTTTTACATTATCTGGGCAATTTATTTTTTTAAATTAAACTGGAGTTGGGTGTAAGTGAAGAGTCCTTTTCAATGAAGAAATTACAGATAGGCAAGTGAAAAAAAGGCTGTGTTCAGCAAGTGACAGACTCAAGTATGCCCTGTGCCAAGAAAAAAAAAAATGGAAGTTTCTCAATAAACAGTAAGTAACCTCTTGAGGTGTCCCACCTGTACACAAGTCAGCAAGTTATGACTCCTTACCCATCAGACAGCTTTGTTCTAAGAGCATGCTTGAAAGAAAACCACTAGTGCTGTGTGTTTCAGTGCTTTGGGAAGCCCGTGGTGTGCAGTATATATCTATATACTAAAGACCAGAAGGTATTCACGTCTCATTCCATCACATATCAGACGATTTTCCTCATTTCAGTACAGCAGGCAGAGTCATACAAATCACTCTTTCACACTTCATCAGCCAAATGTACATCCATGTCCTAAAATGAGGGATAATCCATTTTTGGGATAAGTGATGGAATGAGACATGGGAATACCTTCTGTTCTAAGAAGGCTTTACTGTGCTGTGCAGGGATTTGGTTGGAGGGCTTTTTGATATCTTTAGCCCCTTTTTTAATCATAACCTGTATGGTTAGGCTGTCTGCATCAAAGTCTAAAAAAAATAACATAAAAATATCCAAAACACGATTTTCCTTTAACAGCTGTTGTTACCAATATTGAAAAACTTACTTAAAAGCTGCTCCAAGGGTTTTGTTTTTTCTTACAAAGGCTATTCTCACTAATCCATCCCATTCCTAGAATTAAAAAACAAAGAAAAACAAAAATATTACATCAATGTTTTTTTTTTTTAATTTTGCTTTATGTGATTTAGTTGATCATTGCATAATACATAATAAATAGTTTCAGTATTTACAATTTAACCACTTGCCTACTGGGCACTTTTACCCCATTCCTGCCCAGGCCAATTTTCAGCGTTGTCGCACATTGAATGAAAATTGTGCGGTCATGCAACACTGTACGCAAACTAAATTTTTATCATTTTTTTTTTTTTTTAGACAGATAGAGCTTTCTTTTGGTGGTAATCACTAATGGGTTTTTTAATTTTTTTGCTAAGCAAACTAAAAAAAGACTGAAATTTGGTAAAAAAATGTTTTTCCTTAGTTTCTGTTACAAAATTTTGTAAATAACTAATTTTTCTCCTCCACTGATGTGCGCTAATGAGGCTGCAGTGATGGCCAGTGTCACGATCGTGGCGTCAGACTCCAGACCTTCTCACCAAACTTGTGACCGAAGGGCTAACCGATATACAACCGCGTAACAATGCCACACCCAGCTGCACCCTGCACAACGATTTTCCAGCTAATGGATACCGGTCGATATGCCAGCAGCCTGAATCGATTGTTACTGGGTCAGGTTAATTACACAATTAACCCCTTCACACTGCCACCACCTCCTTTTTGATCAGAGAAAGAGGAAACTCGGCGTTCAGCTATAACACTATGATGGTTGATATAATCGACTGCATAACCTGGTCATAATACAGGCCTGTTATACAGAGGGTTAAAACAAACAGCAGCGTCTCTTTAAAGGCAGGGATTCGTAAATTGCAATTAAGAGCTATAGAAACAGTTCAACACTTTCAGAAAGAGAGATATAGTACTAAGAGTGTCAAACAGGTGCAATAAAAATATTTACAGAGAAGCTCTAACTAAGATATGTATATATACAAAGAAAACAGCACAGCAAAGAGATAACAGGGATAAGTTAAAGGATTAAGTTACTTGCCATTAAGCCTTGGATGGAAGCAGATCACGTTTCAGAGCAAACGGCACAGGTCTTCCCAGGTGGTATATTGATGTTAAAAATTGGAGATGTCTTAACTTAACTTTCTTAGGCTTTACAGCCTGCTTTAAAGTTTCCCAGCAGGGGGTGGTTCTGCCGTAAAAAAAACAATCCCCTGTTTAGGGAGGGATCGTTAGGCGGAACCCTAAACTGGAGCCCACATCTTTCATAATTCATATTCTGGTCCATAACTTTCCATCTGCACAAGCGACAGTCCACCCGCGGGTATATTATTATGCAGACAAGTCTGAGGATTATTTAGATATGAATTATGAAATTATATATTGCACGGTTCATGAGTTCTATGTTTCGGCTTCCCTGATGGTCCAAGATAAGTGAGTGACCCATCAAACTGTTCGCCTGCTCATTGGCCATCTGACGAGGTGTCTGGTTTTTATGTAAGTCTCTCATATTCCAAGATATGAGACATAGGGGAAAAATTGATTTGAGAAGTGTTCATCTAATGCTGTCACCTACGCTGAGCTAAGTTTATTAGCTCAGAGTCCCTTTCAACTCCTGGGAAGGCTCTGCTCTCCCTTCACGAGGCGTGAAATTACACAGGTACTTTGGCCAGTGAGACTCCAGCTCTCTTGGGAAAGCTGGTCCTATCTCTTCCTAGGTGAGAAAGGATACAGCTTTCACAGACAGCTCGGCACCTAGCTGAGATGCCATGGCTGGCCAGTGACCCATAAACAGTACACATACACACACTGGCCAGATGTCTCCTCTCAGTGAGAGGGAGGGGGGGGGGGGAAGGATAAGAGAGAAATATATGTGTCAGGACAGTTAACCCCTTTGCCAAGATGGAGGTTGAAACCAAAATGGTTGAACCGCATCCATCTCTGGGTAAACACTGTTAGAGGCAGCACTGATGGGAATTGACAGGCATCACTGATGGCAGAAAGACATGCGCAGCTAGAGTGGGAGAACGTCATATGACGTCCCCCCAGAACGAGAGAACCGCTGTCCATCCGTCATTTCCTTATATGGTGGGAGGGAGGCTGTTAAAGTGGTTGTAAACCCTTACATATACCCAGTGAAGTAACTGGACTCAGATGATACACAGAGATTAAACAAATCCTCCTACATAACTGTACCTGTTTATCTGTAACCATCTTTCCCCTACATCCATTCAAAGTGCAGAATTTACACAGGATTTCTTAGTTCTGAAAAGCAGGGGGTGGGGAGCTGAAGTTACATCAGTGAAGACAGCTCTAAGAGATGATTGGAGGGAAGGGACACCCCCTCCCATTTGAAGAAGTGTCACCAGCACACCACTGATTCCTCAAACAGGTCCAAAGTTTTATTCTGTGGTCACATAGTGCAAACAAAGGCAATGTTTCGGAGCCACACAGGTTACTTGTCTGGCGAAGGGGTCCAGCGTGGCTCCAAAATGTTGGCTTTGTTTACACTATGTGACCACAGTATAAAACCCTGTACCTGTTTGAAGAATCCTCGGTGTGCTGGTGACACTTCTTCACATAGAGTGTCTATGGTTCCCAGCCGGTGATCACTGCAGCACCCAGCAACACAGAACAGCCATGGTCTTTCTGTAAACTCCTATAGAAAATAGCACCAACATATGACATTGACACTGTCTGAATCAAACTGGAAAGTTGCACTGAAGTATAGGCTTTTTCCTGAGTAAACTAAAACATCACATTTGTTTTACCTACTGTGCATAGCACCCTACATTCTTTTGCCTGGAATTCACCATTAAACCCGATTTTGTCTCATCATATAGAACATTTTCAGCTATTTTGCTAAATTACTTTGTACATTGCAGGCATTCCTGCTCGTGTGGATTACTGAAATTGTTCCACATGCACCAAGAAGCAGGTGGGGAATAAAGAAGACAAGTGCGACAGAAGAAAAGTCGTCACGCAGATAAAAATAACCAACAGGGCCTGGTTGGAGGAACAGCATACTCTTGCAGAGAACCAAAACAGATAAGTGACAATAATTCCTACCATCATGTTGCTTACCTGAAAGTTGATGGGTGGAGGAGGATTCCTTGGTTCTATTCTGACAACACTGGACTCAACTTTTGGAGGTGGCTTGAAATTGTTCTTCCCCACCTACAATATTATAAAAAAAAAAAAAAAAAATATTGTGTGATCTGTAAATCATGCCATTAGTCTGTATTCAAGGTACAGTAGTAATCACATGTATATGCTCATTTGGGATGAGAGAAAGTTTAGAACCTTGTGACACCGAAATCCAGCACAAATTTCTTACCGGAAGGCTTGTTTTTCAAATGACTCTTACCCCATGCCAGGTACAACCAATCTTGGCAAAGGCCAGCATCTTTATTGCATATTCACTCCTGGACGTTTTCAAATAATTGAATGTAACACAGTTATGAAGTTGCAATATATAGCTAGTTTTTTTTTTTTTTTAATTTTTGGAAAGGGTTAGAACCTTGGTCAGATTTGTACAGCTCTCTCGGTTAAGGAAATTCAGCCTATTTGCCTTTGTGGCCATTATCACCAGGACAGAAAGTGATGGCCAATCCAAAGTTTTACAGGAATAGAAAGAAGATCTTTCATTGGGGACACCTGTCTAAGAGGGTATTTTTACTCACCTTGAAGAGACTTTTTCTCACTTCCTGAAGTGTCTCTGGGACAGGGCAAAAAAAGGTTTCTTCCCATTGGGATATAGACAACATAACAAAACAAGTTTTTTTTTCTATTTCCTACTCTATCCAAAAATTTTTTTGGCTAGAGATAAACGTTAAACTGTAAGAAATAAAATAAATGAGCTGTCACAAATCCATCTATATTGTTATCTGCAGCCTTCGAATGACCTTAGATTGTGCAGTAGCACATGCATATTTGTCTTCCATTGCCTCTACACTACAGAAACTTAGGTTCTAAACTTTAAGTTACTGCCACTATCTGTCTACAATTCATAGACAAACATGTAGATTTGGTAGTAAACAGCTATTTCATTTCTCAACAAGTTGGGGGATCTTAGGCTATGAGTGGTCATAATACTTTCATTGCTGGGTTCAAGCTGCCTTGCCCACCACTGACACAGGACACAAACTAAAAGAGGGAAGATAAGAAAGTCTACATAACATGAAAAATCTAAATCCTGAAGGCAGTAGCACCTTTACATTTTAATCAGTAAACAATTCAAAGGATAGATCTATAAGCAGATGTAGATAATCCCTCTAGAGAGAACACTGTCATTTTGTTTTCATGTTAGCACTAAATCTTTTTTTTGAGTGACATCTATAGTACTGAAGCCTTTGGATCAGCATCCCAGCCAGATCACTAATGGCAGCTCGCATTTCTTTCAGCACAGATGGAGATATCAATGCTAACCAATCAGAAGTGAAATCCAGGCCATAGATTACTGCCCTACTGTACATTACTAACAAAATAAATGTAAATATATGCATAAAAACGGGACAAAAAAAAAGGGAAATTATGGGTAAACACAAACAAATAAGCAGATTTAAATTAATACGAGTAAAAGAAGTTACTTACTTTCATGAGATGGTCCACGCGAGCCAGAAGTTGGGTGTTAATGGAAAGTCTGCAGTACAATTTGTCTCCTGGTTTGGCAACAAGTCGCATGGCGAACTCTCTTTGAAACATCAGAACGGCACATCTGGCATAGGGAAGAGATAATACATGGATGATAGCAACAATGACGTATATTTATGAAAACTGGAGAATAAGTAAACCTGTCAGGCAATATATATTAATTCCTATAGACTTGGACAATGAAGTGCTAAAAAAAGTCAACCATGTGGTACAGTGCATGCATGGTTCTGCCACAGAGTATGATAGAGGACACATATCCCTCAAATCCTGCAAAGGGGTGCTAAAATAAATTCTACTGAAAAAGCTGTGCAAGAGCAGAGCAGCATGGCATCTTACAAGAGAACTAAAATGCCTCATAGACCTATGTAATCTCAAGAACTTTCCATAGTTCCATACTTATCTGAGGTATGTGTATATTTGACTAAGGGAAGGGCTAGCTGGGATTAAAGGCCAAGTTCACCTTTAGCAACATGTTACTACCAGACTTGAGGTGTTATATGTTACAGTGCACCATTCCCTGCAACCTCCCGATCCCCCCTCCATGTGACAGCAGGTGGGGGTTCATCTCCCCATGCCCGCTGTCAAAATATATAAACAGAGCAGCTGTGCAGGGCTGCGCCCACACAGCCGCATCATTCATTCACAAGAATCTGTGCATAAATGAACTACAAGTCCCATCTGTCACCACGGCAGATGGCTTGCAGTTCTCAGAGTGCTAAGTGAGCACCCTCCTAGTTCACTGACACTCCCTGTAGTTTTCAAACAGAAAGCCTGTACAGAGGTACAGGCAGAAAGCTGTAGGCAGTGTCTGCAGAAGCCCGACATTGCACCGTGACCTGCCAATCATGGGTGCAATGCATTGCAGTCTGAGGGAAAAAAAAAAAAATGCACGTTTTTTAACCTGCATAAACCTGTGCATTTATTATTATTATTTTTTTTAAAGATGAACTTATTCTTTATGCTATACAAAAGTATAGTTATCCCCCTTTAAGTGCACTTCTAGGAGACAACCTTTCGTTAGGTTTTCTGTCATTTTCCAGTGTATAAGATCTGATAAAGGGGCAAAGAAGACCAGCAATGGCAGCATTCTATGTTTCTTTCATTTAGGGTTTGAGAAATTTAACTCCAATAACTCACCTAAAGAAGGGTCTGTGAAGAAGTAGCTTGAAAACAAAGGGAGAAGAGATCTAAATAAGAGAAAGATAGCATATTAGGAGCAGAAACATACATCTGAAGGTAACCCCTTATACAGTGTACAATGGAGCATATGTAGGAAAAACGCATGAGCAATGATTATCATATATGAAAGCCTCACATCAAAATGTAGAATCAGTAGGTCTAGAGACATAGGCAGCTTACATAGACAGATGCTAAAAGGTATAGACACCTTTACACACCTGCAGTAGCTTTTAGTGCCTACAATCTGCTCAATTGTTGGGTAGTTCTGATTAGACAGAGCTTGGATGCTTCCTAGATGTGTCACAACTAGTTTGCCCAATCCCAATCCCTTTCCCATAACATTTCTACTGACCCATTATTTGAAATGGTATTTCACAAGCCAAAAGGAATACATGGGAGACACTTTAACTGCATACCTGCCAGCAGCTTTTTTTTCTGGCTACTGAAATGATACTATCTAGCTGCTGATCTGGAATTTTACTACAAAGTTTGAGTTTGGTCAACTTGGCTAATGAAGAGGTCTCCTATATTAAAGGACCAGTAAGGGAGCCCATGAAGTGGCAAGTAGAGCTATGATTACTTTCCATATAATTTGCTTTTTCATCTCTGGCTCTAGTAATTGTTCAGATGTGCAGTTGCTTTCTACTTTTCTTATCGATATGTCATCATATACTCAGTTTGACTCCCTCAGCTTTGTCACAGGTGTATTTTAGAAGACTAGCTTATTGGGCAATTTACAACCTCCAAACCTTTGGCTATTTGGGCAAAGCAATGATCACAGATAAAAGTACCTGGTAGGGTAAGTTGGCAACACAGAGGTCAAAAAAAGGCAAATCTGTCTTCAGCACATCACCAACCAAAATCTGAAGTTTGTTTCCTACGGCTCTATAAGAGAAAACGTTTAATTTATTTTTTAACACATTCAGACTGATAAAGCAGAGACATTGAGTGGCACATCAATTCTATGGCACAGCAAGGCAAAGATAAACAGGAGCAGTGAGACAGACTGTTGTAATAGATGTATTACTACTGTCTTGTAGCAGTGGGGTCTACGGTTCCATACCAGCCAGGTCACTAAGACATCCTGGTAGATTAATTGGCTTTTGTCTAAAGTTGCCCTAGTATGTGTGTGACTCTATAGGCTCATTGAGGGCAGGGACTAATGTGAATGTAAAATGCTGTGTAAATACATAAATACCTGTAATAACAATAATAATACAAAGTAACAACTTGAGTCATAAACTCCCTTGGCTGCTTTATGTTGCAGAATTAATAGGTGGTCTGATTTCATTTGAATGAAAACCTGTCTCATGTTCCATAATAAATTTGTCTCTGAACGATGCAAACCTGTTGCAGTTGGCTTCCCAGAAAAGGAACCACAGAAGGTCCTAAATACACCATAAATCTATCACAGAGTCTTTTCTTACTGAAATGCACCCTGCTCTGTGTCTAATCTGCAGGAAATGTGCTTGATAAATGTCCCTGTGTCTAGGAAAACTTTGACAAAAAGTTATAAGTATAGAACTACTTCACCGGACAGAAGAATGGTTGTAGGGACTTAAATTAGAACGTTAGGCAAAAACATTTTTTCCCATTTTGGATAAAATAAGCGAGGGTTATAGTCCTTATCAAGTTCCTTTTTTTTTTTGCCAAGTGTGTCTCAATGGGGAGATTTACCTGTACTTTCTGTCTCATAGCCAAAACAGGAAGTGAGAGGAAATGAGGAAATCCAGAACCAGTGTTCCCATCAGAAGATTTCACCTCTATTCTTGTTCTGGTGACAACCCAAAATTTGGGATATTCTTTCACTTTTGGTGATAAAGATAAACAGAACAAACAGAGTGTGCTGATCTTCCTAATGGGGAAAACACACAGCAATAAAAACTTGACAGGGGTTCTAATCTTTATACCTCTGTCTAAACCAAAAAAAAAATATATATATTCCTTTACTTACTTAAAAGAGATAGAGTCAATCTATACAGCTTGAATAGATGAAAATATTTTATTGATTTAGTCTGCACTACATTGGAGAATAAGTTAAATTAAAATTTCCTAATGGATAAAACTACAAGTCAGCCATACAATATCAAATGCATCGTGTGACATCTTGTGGCCAGAATAAAATATGCACCCCAACATCATACAAAACCAAATTTTATGCATTTGTTAAAGAACTTATCCGCTATTATCATAAATAAAATGTTAGAAGCAAATTTTTAATCATGTGTTTATTATTAAAGAAAAAAAAAAATGTACAAAAATAAAAACATTTAAACGAAAAACAGTATAATAATATATAACTGCTAGAAAATATCTGCACAAATATTTCTCTATTAGTACCACAAAGCGAAATCCATATAGCATTTTAATGAATGGAGCCCTTGAGGTAAATTGGAACTTCAGATAAAGAGTTAAATACACAGTTGAAATACAGAAAGTTTTATGGTTTTCTCTGTTCCAGGATTAGTCATTCTGAAAAGCAAAGTGTGTAATTTGCAAACCTGTATCTCACTGCAGAGCCAGCAATATTATCTGACTACTTCCTAGTGAAAGTGATATTAAAGCTTCAGTTGTATTTTAATTAAAATAATAAATGTTATACTTACCTGCTCTGTGCAATGGTTGATATAGGTAGATAAAGTAGGAACTATGTGTATCAGCTGTCTGGCTGTTGAGTGTGTAATTTACAAGCCTAGCTAATCAGAATTACAAGGCAACTGTCATGTAAAGCAGTAAAAATATGCACCTAAACAGTGCATTTGTTCACTTGGAGAGGCTGGCATAACCTAAGCTATAAAGAGTCTGAAATATAGAATTAAAAAAAAAAAAAAAAAAAGGTATATCTTGCTTACCTATCATGTAGCTTTTACAGCCTGCCAATTTAAAGGATTACTAACATGCATTAATCTAAAAATGCTTCCTGAGTCATGCTTTCTTGTGCCTCCACTTTTCACAGTAGCAGATACTGCTACACGTTACTTGTGTTTTTTACCCCTGTTCTTACCCTTGTTCATACCCCAAGCTACCAGTCATCAGTCGCTAGAACCAACCCTCTCAACAACCCCCTCCACACAATTGAACACTCAATCCACAACAAAAAAAAACCCATGCTCACAAAGCCGCACACCTGGCGGGCCATCACCTCCATCATGCGGAAAATCACTTACCTCCATAACACCTGAAACAACACAGCTACGGAATCCAAACCATCTACAATCAACAAAATGATTACTATATCTTCGCTTAATGTCCGAGGTCTCAACTCCCTCTTCAAAAGGTCCTTGCTCTCAAGAGAAATCCGCTCCATTCAACCTGACATCATATTCCTACAGGAGACTCACTTTGCCTCATCCAAAATCCCAAAACTCAATTTTCCTCACCTCTTCACAGTATATATGGCGACAAACCCGAAAAAGAAAAATGGCGTCATTACAGCCATAAGAGAATCCCTGCAGTTCCAATTTATCTCAGCAACAGCGGACCCACAAGGCCGCTACCACATATTGATCTGCAATATCAATGATACTACATACACATTGGTGAACGTCTATGCCCCTAACACCAATCAACTCCAATTTTTTCAACAAACTTAACTCCATTATAAATCAACACAGAAAAGGCAGACTACTCATCGGCAGAGACTTTAACATGATCGGAAACCCTCTTCTCGACACATCATCCAAGACAAGATCTTCAAAACAGTCCTTCAACCAATTTCTTCACTCCAACGATCTTTACGACATCTGGAGATGCCAACATAGTACAGAGAAGGACTATACCTACTATTTCTCCATCCTACTTATCCTATTCCAGATTCAACTTCTTCATCACCGATAAATGGACTTTACACACATGTCACTTCCTCCAAGATTGGCACCATCACTTGGTCAGACCATGCTCCGATCACTATTTCCCTTGACAACAAACAACATTTGCCGATACCCCGATTATGGCGATTGAACTCGATCTTGCTGAAAATCCAAGACTACAAGCAACAAATAATTGATGCACACAGGACATTTTTTTAATTTAACGATAGCCCGGATGTATCCATAACCACTTTGTGGTCAACCTATAAAGCATACATGAGAGGTATTCTGATACAACTAAATGCTCGCGTTAACAAAAACAGAACCCAACAAATAGATATTCTCTTAACCTCAATCAAAACAAATGAGGAAAAAAACAAAAAATCCCAAAACCCAACAATCTCTTTGTCCCTGACAGCAGATATAAATAAATTAAGATCTCTTCTACTCTACAAATATGATCTAAATCTCCAAAAAATGAAAGCAAAATTCTACTCACTAGGTAACAGAGCCAGCTCGTTGTTAGCCAAATCGGTAAAACAAAAACAGCTGAAATCCAAAATAGCCTCAATTAAACACCCATCTACGAATACCCTAAACACAAACCCACAAGACATAGCTAACGCCTTCGCAGAATATTACCAAAGCCTATATAACCTTAAAAACGACCCTGACACCATTCAACCAACAACCACCTCCATACAACAATTTCTCCAAACGACCAATCTCCCTCAAATATCCTCAGACCAAATTGACACCATTTCTGCCCCAATATCACCCAAAGAAACAGAAAGAGCCATTAAAACACTCCCAATTAACAAATCACCAGGAAACAATGGATACACTAACAAATACTATAAACACCTTTCCACAGACTTATCACCACACCTGACCAAACTCTTCAATCATGCCGCCACCACAGGCTCATTCCCCAAAGACATGTTGCAATCCATCATAACGACTATACCAAAACCTGGCAAAGACCCCCAACTTGTCCAAACCTACAGGCCAATTCGTTACTCAATACCGACATAAAACTATATGCGAAAATCATATCCCGTAGAATTCTCCCCTACCTCCCCACCCTTATTCACCCAGACCAAGTAGGTTTCATCCCAGGTCGCCATGCACCCGATGCTACCAGAAGAATTATCTCCCTCCTACACAACCTAGAAAGTACCAAGAGCTCCTCCTTATTCCTATCTCTAGACGCAGAGAAAGCATTCGACCGGATACATTGGCAATTCAGGCAACTCACTCTTCAAAAATTCGGCATCACAGGTTGGATGCTGAACGCCATCTTGTCATTATATTCACAGCCATCCGCTAGAATACTGACAGATGGCACATTATCTGACCCCTTTGACATTTCAAATAGTACAAGACAAGGCTGCCCACTCTCCTCGATAATTTTTACACTCCTTATTGAACCCCTAGCATCCAAACTCAGAGCGGACCGTTCATTTACAGGAATCACACACCTCAACATGGAACACAAAATTAGCCTTTTTGCGGACGATATTATATTAATGGTGACCAACCCAAAAAAATCCCTCAAAAGCGATTCACGCACACCTATATACCTACTCAACAGTCTCATATTACAAACTTAACAAACCCAAATCTTCCATACTTAACCTTCACATCTCATCCCAACTCCAAACCCAACTAGCCAAACAATTCCCCTTTTTATGGGAAACGAACAACATTCCTTACTTAGGAATCAGACTCACACCGACAACAGACCAACTATACACAGCAAATCATAAAATTTTGCTTGAAACTATCCCCGAGAACTAAACATTTTTACGCACTTCAGAACTCTCCAAACTTGGCAGAGTGGCAACTCTGAAAATGTACATCTTACCCAAAATCTTATACATATTTCGTACACTCCCCATACCAACCCCTAATTCATTCTTTTCTAACCTACAAACAATCCTCACAAAGTTCCTATGAAACTCGAAAAAACCAAGATGTACCACCAACCTCCTAATACGCCCTACACCTAAAGGAGGAGCAGGACTCCCCACACCTCAAGTCATATTACACAGCCACTCTTTTAGACCAATTATATTTCTGGTGGAACCCATCGAAAGAAAAAAATTTGGTCCATAATGGAAACCCCCCCTTTTCAACCACTTAAGCCCCAAAATATAATCCTGATTCCACTGACCAAACGAATAGATCCCCAACTAAAACACCCCTGCATTCAAGCCTCCCTACAAACTTGGAGGGTCCTCCTTTCCACTAAATTTAAAGATGTCAAACATATACCTACTCCAACCAACATACTACACCTTCTCATTCCCTTGTTAGACTTATCGCAATGGACAAAACAAGGGATAACCAATATAACAGACCTCTATATCAATAAATCTATATGCCCCTTTCATATTCTCCAAACCAAATATAATCTCCCTACTACTGAAAACTTTACATACCTAAGAATTGCTCACTGTCTACAAACATCTATCTTACCCCACACCATTATGATACCAATTACAGCTTTCCTATTCTTCAATACCAAGGCAAAGGTATATCCACCTTTTATACATATCTCATAAACTTACAAATTACTCTACAAACAACCTCCCTAACCAACTGGGAAAAAATCCTATCAGACCAAATAACTTTAAAATGCTGGGAAAATACCTTCAACATCACCTATAAACTACCCGATGCAGCCCCGATTGGGAGTCATATCTAAAAATACTTCACCAATGGTACCTGACCCCGGTCAAACTCTCCATCTACTACCCAAAACAGTCTCCTACATGCTGGAGACAATGTGGTGAGCCAGGCTCAACACTACATATCCTTTGGTCATGTAAGTCACTCAGATCCTTCTGGAATACTACTTTTAAATTAAACTCCGAAATAAAATCTTGATAACCCCGAACCCCTCATTAGCACTCCTACACATTGGGATCGAGAAACTCCCTCCTCATTCCCGAACAATTATTACCCACATACTCTTTGCCGCCAAAATTAACATTACCAGATTATGGAACACAAATAATACCCCCCTCAATCACTTCATTAATTACAGACCTTAACACCAATGTCAAATGGAAAAAACTATCCGCAATTAATACTTCTTCCTATCGCAAATTTAACAAGCAATGGACTCGATGGCTAAACCACCCAAAATGTTCTGTACAATCCTGATGACACTTTATTAGTTGAATTATCACCCAAACCAAGACTGGTATTTCCTCAATTACCCAGTTATATCCCTCCTCCCCGGACCAGAGCCGGTCAGGTTAGTAAGCAGTTTTATTCTACTGCCTGCTACAACCATGACAATCTCCCTATGAACATGGTGGTACTCTCTAACAAGACTGGATAAATGAATGCAATCAGGATCTGGTCAGTTCAATCTAGGAGGCAGCTGAACCACTTATGGAACCAAAGGCAGACAGAACAATTGAAAACCCATCTGAAAGCGTGTCAGCTGTAGTATTCTTGACATATATGTGAACATTTTTATCTGCCAAAATAGTTGCAATTTTGCTCATTCAATCTTAACACTAACACTCTGTATAGCCAGCGAGGTGATACCAATCCACTGCAGCTCAGCTACCAAAACACCTCTCTTTCCAGCTCCCAGCATCTGAAAACATGGTAGACCCGCCTTTCTTTTTGAAACATTTTGAAAATATTGTTTAAGTCTCAGGGAACCCCTGCTAAAAATTAATTCATCTACAGCCCACTGTACATTAATATGATTGTCAAGAAGAAGAGTGTCCCTTACATTAGTGGTTAGTGGGAATAACCCCTCTCTTACAAATAGCTAAAAGGTTCGCTGAACTCAGTGGCACCTTATACAAGTGGCAGAAATGGTTCCTTGCTCAAGGAACCCCTATGCAACCTCTGGAGGAACCTGAGGGTTCCAAGGACCCCTGCTTAGGAAAAGCTGCGGCAGACTGTCAGCATTGTACAAAGCAATATGCTCATTGGGTCACAATGAATAAACACCTTACATTCATGTTTTTGCTGCATAGTAGATTATGGGAAGATTAATATCTCTCTCTCGTGCAAACAAGAACAAACATTTTCCTACATTACAAAATAAAAGAAGGACCTTCTATGACATCTCAAGCTCTGGAGAAATCAATCGTGTTTGCAAAATACTCCAATTTATTTTGGCCAAACTAAGTATACTTCTGTTCAACTCAATAACAAAGTGTGAGTAGACTTTGACCTGAGAACCCCAAAAAGTAAGAGGGTGCATGGTTGTGGTAATAGTTCAGGCTGCAGTACAGGGTGTGATGATTCTAGTACACAAAGCAGTAAGTAAATCCAGGCCAATCCAATAAACAAATATGTATATTAAACCTGTCACAAAAGCAATGAAAATCTCTGCCATTACTAACACCATTCTTAACCACTTGCCCTCTGGAAATGTACCCCCCTTCATGACTGGGCCATTTTTAGCTATACAGCACTGTGCTACTTTAAATGACAATTGTGCGGTCATGCAACAGTACACAAATTAATTTTATATACATTTTTTCACACAAATAGAGCTTTCCTTTGGTGATTTGTGATCGCCAAAGCGAAAAAAAAAAAAGACTGAAAAACAAACAATATTTTTTTCTTTTTGCTATAAAACATATCCCATAAAAAATAAATAAAAATTCCTTCATAAATTTAGGCCACTGTGTTCCTAACTACGTGTAATGTGTTGATTGTGTGCTGTTTTACTAGGGGATGCAACAATTTTTGTCTCCCGTTTTGAAGGGAGAAAAAAACTGGCACATCCCCGTGTCAGTAGAGAGATCTGTGCTGTTTACCACTAGCACTGAATCACTGGCCGGGACCTGCTGATGGTCATGTCAGGGAGTAAATGAGAGCGCACTGACAAGCCAATGACATGCAGGAAAAGCAAAATCACACACAGACATATAGATTTATTAGGGATGCACTGAAACGTTTCGGTCGAAATAAAAAAAAAAAAAAAAAAAAGCACCAATACAGGTGCCAAAAAAACCCCGACTCTCACCGCCGCCCACCCGCCGCTCAGTAGTTCTCAGCCTTACCTGAGAAACCTTTGATCCCAGCGCTAGGCATAGAGATGCATGAAGGAAAGATGGCATCCACTCATCTCTATGCCCTTGATCTGGTGCTTTTTTTTTAAAAGCACTAGATCAATGCTTTTTTTTCTTCTAATGCTTTACATTGCAGAGGAGAGATGTGGGGTCTTATTGACCCCATATCTCTCCATAAAGAGGACCTGTCACTAATTATTTCTAATCACAAGGGATGCATGCATTTCTTGTGATAAGAATAAAAGTGATTAAATTTTTTTTGTTAAAAGGGATAGTGGGAAAAAAAAAAAAAAAAAGAAAAAAAGTTTTAAGTGCCCCCGTCCCCCCTGTGCTCACAAGTAGTGGTGAACACATATGTAGGCCATGCCTACATATGTAAACGGTGTTCAAACCGCACATGTGAGGTATCACCACGAACGTCAGAGCAAGAGCAATAATTCTTGCACTAGACCTCCTCTGTAACTTTACACTGTTAACCTGTAGAAATGTTTTAACCATCACCTATGGAGATTTTTAAGTACCACAGTTTCATGCCATTCCACGAGCGTGCGCAATTTTAAAGCGTGACATGTTAGGTATCTATTTATTCGACGTAACATCCTCTTTCATATTTTACAAAACAATTGGGGTATGTATATATATTTTTTTTTAATCAGTGTATTTTTTTCCAAAAAATATATATTCATTTTTAAAGACTGCGCATTTCAATTTCGGTTTTCGGCTGTGGAACAGCAGAAGTCACAGCCAGCTTACTGTATTTGTAGCTGCTGACTCAATGTATGCCATGCCTCTTGAAAAATAGCAACGTCCTGATAAAGGAGTGTACTTAGGTACACCTGTGCTTACAGCCCCATAGCTGTATATCTGCAGTGTGATATCTAGGACACTGATGTCTCCAATTACTAGTTTCAGGAGATTTAGAGTGAGAATTTGTGCTGTCACTACTGTGCTGCTCACTGTTCTTCTTGCTGGAGGCTCTGATATGAGGAAGTAAAGTCCTGCCTCTAGCAGGATGGATGCATCCATACAGAAACAAAGTGCAGAACAAGGTGTAGCAAGTCAACATCTGGAAGGATCAGCTGCATGAAGACAACAGCAAATATTGGTGACTAGTCCTTTAGCCTCTTTATCCTTTAGTCTGTCTCTGTTTAGGAACATCGCCCAGAATTCAGTTCCTGTTTAAGAATAATTTCTGCCCAACTTCACATTTTAACACACTGGTTACCTTTTTTGATTTTTTCTAATAACTTTACAGTCATGTTTCCTGTTCCTGGACCAACCTCAAGCACAACATCTGTGGGCCGTATGGCAGCCTGAAATTAAAATGTAAAAAAAAAAAAAAAAATCTACATTAGTCCCATTCATCCTAACTGGCTTCAAAACACAGACAGAAATCCAATACAGTACAGAAAGCCGAGCATGACTAACCTTGTCAATAATGCTGTTAACTATGAGAGGGTTCTTCAGAATATGTTGGCCAACGCCGGTGTTGAACATAACCCCTAAATGTGAAGAAAAACTCTGGTAACACATGAATTTATCAACTTCAAATAAAAAGGACAACTGGCACGATTAAAAAGACGGACTGCTACAAGGGATATTAAGTATTCTAATAAAATGGAACGTTTAGTAACATTAGCTCTAGTTGAATGAAACCTCTTAGATGAGATAATCAGGGAATTTAGAAATGCTGTATACCTCTCAAGAGATCGGGGACATGTGGTTGCAGGAGACCGTCAGAGGGGGAAGGGGAAGGGGGAAAGGGAAAAAAGGGGGGGG